GCCGCTTCGGTGATGAGATCAAGTGTTTCAAAGCAAGAGATGACTCTTGTGTTTCAAAGCAAGGAGTATTCAGCTAGCTGATGCTACCTTTCATGAACAAAGTCAGTGCCTACATGTGACCTTTGAGGGACCAAAATGGTGGTCTTCTAAAAGGGCAGGGCGTTGGCGAACGGGTATCTTCACCGGTGTTGGGTCAGGTGGGGTTCTGGATTGAAGTGCACATGGAAAAAAAAAAGGGGAATCAACTATAGTCATGTAACATGTAGAGTGTTGATGAAGGAAAAAAATCTTCAGAATGGTTTTACAACGCTGAACACATCTCCAGGCCTGGTGGGTCCTATTCATCAAACAGTCCTGCATGAATCACCGGTGAGGTCATGGCTTCGCCCGCCTCAGCGTGGACATACTGGTCTTCCTGATTGCCACACCTAGGCCACCGGGTCGATCCCAAGAGCTCCGCGTCCGCCCTGAGACCGTTCTCTGACGGCCGGACGACACCCGGTGCATCTTTAGAAATCCAACCACTTGGGAAGAGGGATCAAACCAATACGTGGTGAACACGCGCAGGAGAAAGAAAAGGCCTATGGCCTATGGCCCATGAAAGCCCCGGTTTTAAGCCGCAAGCCCGAGTGTGAGCCTTGAACTGGGGTGTCTGTAAAGTTGAGACCTCATGCATTCCTGCCATGTTGTTCTTTTCATTAAGATCTCCAAGCCATCCATGAAACGGGATTTAAATGGCGGTGGTTTCAGAGTCCATATGGGTGTGTATACTGTATATATATATATATGGGCATTAATACAGGGAGACCTTCCAGCTTGACCCCCTGGAAGAAGGGATTAGACAAGTTTACATTTAAGATTACATTCTCCATATGGATCCATATGGAGTGTTTGGACTTGTTCAAGATCCTTTAGCGGGCTAAAGAAGGTGAGATGGGATGCAAAAGGTAGTGACACTCAGCCGTTCTACCACTGAGCACGTCCTTTTGGCCGTCGCCGAGTGGCAGCGAGTGCGCATTGGCCTTCGCAAACCAACTGTCTCGGACCTCCATGTCTGCGCCGGCAATGGCCTGGGCGCCGAGATGGTGTTCCTCCACCCCCCAAAGAATGAAAGCAGCCACAAAAGAAAAACAAATACACTCCGACTCACTAACATGGAAGTGGAAAACTCACTGTTTTTTTGTAGAGGAAAGTAGTCTTCCAAGAGGCCATTTTCCACTTCCATGTTAGTGAGTCAGAGTGTAATACGAAGATATAAGAAGTAGAAGAAGGAGATCCGAGCCCGGGAGTCTATGGCCTACAACCACCACTCTTCATATTTGGAGCTTCTTCGCCCTTGCACGCGATCATGGGCAATAAATGAGGCTAGTACACAGAAGTGTGTGTGTGTGTGTAACCCTTGTAGTCACAGGGATCCAGTTGGATTGTTTTGTACCGTTTTCAGCAGGGGGACTGTCTACCCCACAGAAGTGACAGTCCAACGAAGAGGCTTGTGTGGCGCTACTGATATCACTGGAGACGTCCAGTGACGTACCTGCGAATTTTCGAGTTTCAGGGGAATGGCATGCGGCTAAGCCTAGAACCTCACTTGGCAGACAAGTACGACCGTCGTCACTTCGTCGCTTCTTCGTCGTCGTCACTCTGTCGCCTTGAAGACCTCCAGGATCCAGTGGTTCGTACGTGTACCCTTAGGAATTGGAACCCTAGGCTGGCGTGTGGCACCGCTATCAGTTCCGTATGCATATCCATAAGTGTGTCTCTCCCAGTGAGAGTCCGGGATGAGCCCGCAGAGTGCCACCCGTGGACCCGTTGAACGGGGGTTTGTCCATGTTCCCCCGGCTCTGGGAACGCAGATGTCCGCAGCGGACAGTAGATGGCTTATGCCTCAAGAAGTGGGATGTTTGTCTCATTTTTGGAATTCCAAGTTGGCTCATGCCTTTACGTGACCGCAGCGGTCCAAGCTGGCTTAACGCCTCAACGTGGTCAGAGCGACCGAAGCCTTTTTGAGGTTCATTGGAACCTGTTGGAGCCTTAGTATTTCAGGTGATCCGGCGCGGAACCTAGAAAAATCTTGCCTCCCCTCGGGGAGGCGTGTGTGTGTAACCCTTGTAGTCACAGGGGTCCAGTTGGATTGTTTTGCACCGCTTTCAGCAGGGGGACTGTCTACCCCACAGAAGTGACAGTCCAACGAAGAGGCTTCTGTGGCGGTACTGATATCACTCGAGACGTCCAGTGACGTACCTGCGAATTTTCGAGTTTCAGGGGAATGGCATGAGGCTAAGCCTAGAACCTCACTTGGCAGACAAGTACGACCGTCGTCACTCTGTCGCTTCGTCGTCGCCTTGAGACTTTGGCCTCCGTTCCTCTTGAAGACCTCCAGGATCCAGTGGTTCGTACGTGTACCCTTAGGAATTGGAACCCTCGGCTGGCGTGTGGCACCGCTATCAGTTCCGTATGCATATCCATAAGTGTGTGAACTGTGTGCACTGTAGATGTAAATGCATATATATATATATATATATAGAGAGAGTATGGTATGGTGCAAATGGAGATAGAAACGAACACCATCTTATATACAGCATCTCATTATATACAGGTACTGTACCATAATTAATCCTCATTGAATCCCAACCTTAGCTATCCACCCTGTGAGATCTCTCAACTCAATGTGTTGACAATCACATCGCGATGCATCCTGCACCCTCTTTGACAGGTTGTATCTCTAGTCAAGTCTGAACACTGAACACTCCTTTTTGGACGGCCAGAGTTGATGCACCACGGATCCAAAGAGACCATCATCACCATTGACCATCCCCACATATTGAATATGTATATATATATATATTTCTATTTTATGTATCTAATACAATATATGTCATAATATGTTATACTATCATGCACTTGAAATTGTAATCGTTTACATTCTTTTACTCCATTGACGGTCGTCCGTCCATGTTGAAAAACCCAATCCGTGACCGAAGATGATGTCGTTGCAGAATTTCTCCGCTCTGTTTCTGTCCGCTTCCTCCCTTGGCTCAGGCGGGCGGCCGAAACCTGAAATTCCATCTGGACCTTGGTGACTTTGTCCTCCTGGGTCGGTGCGCAAACCGGTTGGTCGGTGAAGGATTGGACTGGGGGGGACGCTTTCTGCCAGGCGATCAAGCTGAGCTTGGAGGAGGAGCAATCAATTCCGCTTGCTTTCCCCCCAAAAGCCGCACCTAATTAGTCTATAACAGCAAAACCATGCAAAACCGTGTTTAAATGCATGGTTTGAATTGAATTCATTGCTTGGTCGCAAAGTTCCAGGACCTCAAAACCTGTATGGAGCAATCCCTAGGGATCCACATACCTTCTCAGAAGGTACAACTGCATCAAAGAGTGTCCAATCACCTCCTCAGAGGGTATGTAAGTCCAAATAGGGGATGAATGTATTCAATTATTTTTGGATTCGGACATTCTGCAAGCTGCGAGCTGATAGTGCAGAAACAAATCTTTGGATCTCTCCCGTGAAACCCGTTTCAGCCCCACCACAACCATGCCGGACATCCATGCCCGGTTCTCCTGACTCGTCTGCCAGGCTTGGAAGCGACTCGGCGGCATCTCGTTGCTCTTCAACTGGGCAGATCCGAGCCACAGCCGGGAGCCACCACCGAGCGGCCACAGGGGTGGGCGTGTGGTGGGTGGGACTGGGGGTTGGGTTCGAGGTTAAAAGTCCAAGGACCTGAGGGACATGACGTGACTGGTGCCCATCTGTAATCCAAGATGTCTTCTTCTTTGAGAGATCCGACTCACTTCGCATGCCGTGTGCAAGGTTCACACGCACTGGATCGATGGAAGCATGTAAGACTGGTGTTTCCCGTGAAGCTGCTTAAGGAACAATTACACATATTTGCCAGGAGGGGATTTACAAATTAATATGATTAGTTAATGTAGGGATCTAAATTACCCATAATTACCCGCTAAGACAAACCATGTTCCCTTGAATACCGGCGATGGATGGAAAACATGAGATGCAGCCCGCATCGCCGAAGTCCTTGGTACGAGCTACTCGAAACGAGAAGAGTTACACAAAGTTCCCCAACAACAATCCATGCCTGGGAGGAGGGGGGCCCACTCCACTTCCATGTATATAATGTGTTCCATGTTAGTGTTTTCAGGCTACTAGTGTCATGTTCGTGATATCAATCTCCACCAGGCTCGTGGCGATGTAGGTCCAAAGCACTCCGCACTCCATGTATATATGGTATATATTCCGTTCTATTCCTACATTCATCCCTAAAACCACCCCAATGATCCCCCATGATCCCATCTTTAGGCGTGCCGTGTCTGGTTCCCAGCATTTCCCAAAGGAACAGCATTTCCCAACAGGTTCCCCAAAGAATCGGTACACTTCGATCATCGGCTGGATTAAAAACCATGGTCTCCAAAGAGGTGAATGTCATCCAGCTGGTCGGTCATCCAGCTGGTCCAGCCTGCAACGTTTGGACCACATCTTTGTGCAGTTCCTTAGGATGCGCGAGGAACAGTCTATCCAGTCACTGGACAACCACCCAAATATTTGCATGTGTGCTTGCTGGTGTCCAAGGAACTTGAACAATATGTCATGTGTTGGGATGATTGGCAATTGTAAGTTGAAAGGTTAAAACTAGTGAAATCATGTTGAAGACAGCCACCCGTAAGAAAACCCCGGTTCCTCAGTAGACACTTAGGTCAACTCAAAAAGCCCACCCACCAGCTAGGAATTTCGTGTGTCTCCCTTTCGGGTTCTGGTCAAATTGTATTTGAACAATTATGATTACTTTTTAGCACCTGGTTCTTCCAAGTGACCTGTTAGTCCCCTGATTTAAGGTTAGTATATAGGCTACTTAGGGACTCCAAAAAGGTCACCTTGAAGAAGCTGGTAATTCATGGTTTCTTTCCTTCCTGCCCTCTGTCTTTCATTCTTTCGATTCTCTCAACCAGGGCCCTCCCTCAAACAATCTCACAGTTCCGGTTCTTTGTCATGTCCTGCTGGGCACCACCTGGGAATGTCCCAATCCAACAGCTCGTCCTCCACTCCGCTGCGGACACTTTTTCTTCAAGTCTTCCTGCTGCCACTGCTGAAAGGAGCTGGAGGTACAAGAAGAAAGGCTCAGCTCTGGGCCTTTGGCAGTCAAGCATTGACCTGGCACCAAAGGCCCAGTGGTTTCAAAAGGTGTTGCCTGGGACTCTTGGGAACTCCGTGCTTGCCTCAACTAAGTAGCAAGCCAGAAGTCAGAAGTATCCAAGTCAGGAAAACGAGACAGTGTCCCTCTTCCTGGGTGATGTTATGCGAGTTTGGCAGGGGTTCACATGTTTAAAATATCGGAAGCTCACATACACACATGATGATTCACGACAGTATGAATATGCACCGGACCATCCCTTCATTGTTTGTATCAGAAGTCTGGCCATGATGATCTCACGGTCTCACAGTTCAATTGCTGCGGAGCAAGGTTCACCCTCTTCTTACTTAAGAAACAGTTATATAGATATTCTAGTTCAATTGTTTTCCCCTTGCTCCACGCCCGCAAGCTCAGGTACTCCTCGCACGGTGCAGCCACAGCCTGTGGAACTTTTGATCTGTGGCCCATCGAAGATCCATTGTTGCTCCTTGGACTGGACACCTTGGCTGCAGTGGGCGTGGTCTATCAAATTATATATAGATCATGTATCGTCGGCCTGGATTTCTCAATGGTATCCCCATCAGAACTGCGGTAAACATGTTAGTTTCTTAGCATGCAACTAGTTCACCAGCAAAACAAAAACGTGGCCAGGCCGTTGTTCCTCTGCCGTCGAAAGAAACCCATCTCCGGCACGGTTCCAGAGGAATCGAGCGACGAAGCAACGGCATCGATGTGGACGAAACGAACCAGTTGTAAGCACCGTCAGAACTCATAAGATGCTGAAAGCGCCTGCATAAGACCACAGCTCGGGTGTTGAAGCAAAGCAGCCACCCGCCCCAATTCACCCCACCAGGGTGTGGCCCTCCGAATCCAAAAAGCGGCGGAAACCTACCAAAAAGAAGTGCATCCGAATACCCTTGCGGCCGCGAAAAGGAATGAACCCGCTAGAAGGCCGCACCAAGGAACACTGGCTGAGGTGAAGCACTTCGCCCGCAGTGATGCAAGTGCGACCTGACTCGTGCGGCGCACGGATGTTTCAGATCGTTCAGGGATTGATTGCACTGATGCGTTTTGGTTTGACGGGGTCGTTTCTGGCCGTGCGAAACAAATCCACAACAATCTGTGTATAGAAGAGGTCAGCCTCTTCAGATGGAATTCACAAACCACAATGACCCTCCTCAATGTCATGTTCCAAAGTGAGGGTTCCCGGCTGTGATGTTGATGGTTTTCTTGGATTGGTTTGAGGAACCGGGGCAGGAAACAGAACATATTCACCAGAGGGGGATCCGCCACTAGGGTAAAATATGCAATTCGTTTGGCAAAACATGGCAAAACCAGTTTTTCTCGCCTTTCCGGTCACCTCTCTTGGGCCCCGGGCTGCCCACGGTGCTCCGGAGCCCTGACTCGCTGAACTCCCACGTCTGCGCGCTGCGGAACTCACAGATCTCCAAGCCTTACAGATCTCTGTGGCCGACGAGTCTGACGTTTCAAAGCTGGAGGAGCTTGGTTGACCACCCCGAATGATCCCAAACGAACAAGAAACTAGCAAACTAAATGGTCACCCTTAGTTACGTTTCCATACTTTTTTGTACGGGAGGTGCCATGACCCACTGTATCCCACTGTATTATGGTTTGGCTAAACCCCCTGAAGTCTGAGTGACAGCCCTTGAGATTCCAACGGCTCGTCCCACAGTTTTCAAGGAAATTCGGCCCCAACGAAGGAGTGATCCTTTGCCCCATCCATGCACCACGTATCGAAGCATATCACTCTGAGTACCCCCACTGAGCGTCGTGTCTCCGCCGCTGGGGAGGTTTGCGCCTTGGTGCCATTCATGATCATTCATGTGTCCAAACGTTGGCTAAATACTTGGGCTACGACGCCCCGAGGCGCCTGTGGGTGGGAGATATGAGAGTCTGACTGAAGCCCAGTCAGGGAGTCATTCGCAAGAACATGTTAAGAAAAATGGTGTCGTCAAATTCGACACTGGATTCCGATGTGCCACCCCGCTTCGCTCCTTTCACTTCCAGCGGGAATGTCTCGTCCTGTGACATCACCAGCGGCTCTGAGGTGTTTCCTCCGCAGCCATTGATACACACGACGTTGCTCAGGTATGTCTTCCTGCAGTTTACACCACTTTTGTTCACTGTCAAGCTGTTTCTAATTACATTTTCTAGCTATCAAAGGACATCTGAGAGAGCCCTCAAAAGAGCCCTTGAAGGGGTCGAAGGGGCGAACGGGTCCTCCGCGCCGGTTGGTTCCGCGCGGTTCGCCGTGGAGGTGCCATCTCTCACCGTAGTGCACCGATTTCACATTTAGGGGGGAGACACAGGGAACTCCACAAAGTCGTGAACGGGTCCTTCGCTGTCGCCCCTAGTGCTGACCCGGTGAAATGGGCTCGGTGTCTCCCCCGTAAAGGGAATAGACACAGAGACAGGGGAGAAGAGAGAAAGGCGCAAAAGTAGCTAGTTAATGTTTAAATCTTAGTTATTTGGCTGGTCTAATTCCTTCAGTTCCTGTCTTCCCTTGATGTTTGAAGAGTTTTGAGGGCATGTCTTAAAATTGTCAAAACTGTCAACAGTCACCCCTTTCGCTTTATGAGGCCAAAAACCGAGCTTAGGCCGATCTCTCGACTCCCTGTGTCTCTAGAGACAGAGTAAAAAGTAGCTAGTTAAATTGTGTTTCTTAGTTATTTTCCTGGTCTAATTCTGTTCTCTCAAAATCTGTTCTAGAATTTTGCGGAGCCTATCTAATATATATATATATATATCACTGAATAATTCAACGCGTCTTTCTGTCCGCTTCCTGTTGTCCTTGAGTGTGAAGGAATGCTATCTTGGACAAAGAATTCCAACACAGGTGCCACACTGCAAGTATTTGATGGGGGGAGTTGAAAATGTAACTACACACGTCGGAGGTAGTAAGTTATATTTCCCACCCTTTTAATCTCAGGAAGTTACATTTATTAACCCCCCCAAAGTGAGTGGTTTGTGGGGGGGTTGATAAATGTAAGTACAGTCCTCGGACGTCCTAAGTTACATTTTCGAGGACCCCCCCCAAAAAAAAAGAACGTCAACGGGGGGTTACTTACAATTAAAAAGACCACTAGGGGGGACCCCAGAAAATGTAAGTTCCCCCCTCAAATCCACGGGTAAGGGGGTAGGGATGGTCTGATAAAGAAAAATCGGTAGGTACATGGAGTAATGGCAACCGTCTCAGGTGAGTGCACCCACTCGTCTTGTGACCATAGCAGCTTTAGAGCCTTCCTCCAACTCGACCATGTTCCCTGACCTGATCGCTGCGGCCTGAAGCGAATTAAACACATTGTGCTATAAACTTTAGCCTGCCAGGCATACACCCCGGATGAAAAGAACATGGAAATCAAAGTAATCACATGTTTCTATAATACTCAATATCTCTCCGTGCAAGGCACGAATGGTCACTCCACACAGTCACACAGCCAGCGGCGTGCATTGCTCCACCACAGCCGGGGCTCTTTATGGGGTTCTTGAACGCGTTCGAGCCGCCATCTGTGGCCCAGACCGTTGACCACCAGACGTAGATTGCCCCCCCCACCCCCCACCCCCACAAACCATGGTATCATTGGCATGAACCTCTTCTGGCGCCTATGGCTCATATGTGAAAGCACATTGAATAATTCCACTATAGTATAGCAGGTGTTCACATATCAGCCACAGGCACCAGGAGACGTTATGGGCAACTACCCTACCAGGCATACGGTATACGCGCCATAGATGGAAGTATATACATGTTGTTGCTATTTTACATTATATATCATTATAATTGATTAATTATTTGCAGGGCCACTGGTGAGAAATTGGAAGGTCTACAGTGCATATTGGACCACGGCTCCTGACTGGGGAGAAGAAAAAGGTGTTCAGAACACCTTAGAATTACGGTTCACTACTACCACTTAAAGAACTCCAGAAACTAACGACACCTCGGGAATTTTTCACGTTTTCAGGAGTCGCCCGAGTTCATCCAAAAGTTTTCAGCCCCTGCCTAGTGAGTGGATAATGGGGGACCCCAGGCACCCCTTTGGAACTGCTGGTGCCACACCTCCTAAAGACAAGGCTTGGGCTTTAATTGATTGCCGGGCCCCGGCGGTGATCAGCAAGGAACCGGAGAATGACCGAAGTGAATGAATCCAGTGAGAACCAAACATCAGCTTCAGCAATCGGCTCGAACAGGTCTCCGAAATGGTGGGTGAAAGGGAGACTTCTTCTTCTTCTTCGGGTGCTGATACAGGATTCAATACGTCCCACCTCCCTAGATTCGTGTTGCCACGTGTCGGACACTCCCACAAAGCTACCACCCAGGACCTGCCAGGACGACCCAGGACTCCCCATGCCACCGGCGGATCCGATGTTCCCCCGGCGCCCGTGCCGCTGTCGCGGGCGCTGTCGCCCTCGCTGTCCCAGGAGCTCATGCACTTGTTGATCTGAAGCCAGTCGCTGCCGATGTTCAGCAGAAAGCCTCTGACAAAAGGCGCTGAACGGCTGGCACAGACGGTTGGCTTGCAGGAGAACGGCTGGCAGTTGGGTTTCATTTACGAAGTAGATATACTGAATTCACACAACCTTCCACGTATATATATATATATAATATGATGGTAAATGAATTCCAACTTGATCCAACCTATGGCTAGGAGAGCAAGAATAAAGACGTTTTAAGCAATACTTTCTTGGTCTTTCTTGATCATGGCCCCATGCACATCCAATAATTGATTCTGTGATGTGTGAATGAAAGACTGACTAGCAAAGCAGTCTAGCAAGG